GAACCATGGCGAATAGCGGAATCTATATCTGACACCTAATGGTTTGCATATGAAATTAGAGGCAGAGCGTGAGCGAAAGGACCACCCCCCCCTCCTTTCGCTTGATGTCCCCTGATTAATTTACAGCACTTTTGTTGCATCGGCATCGTCCAAAAATAAATTAACCAACGCTGGAGATATCAGGAAGCGTGCGCGGGGGGGTGCAATTTATTAGAGAGGGGAAAAAAGTGAGATGAGATTAAATAAAACACCTAATTGACAGAATAAGTTGCTAAGCGCAAGAAATGTCGGCCATTGTTGGAGAAGAAGCGCGTGTATGTGTTTGGAGGAGGAGGGTGTAAGAGGAGAAATAAAGAGAGAGATGGAGAGAAAGCACTGGCCACTTGATTTCCTATGAAAATTAATCGGCTATCAAACAATCTTGGTCTGCCGAGGATGATTATACAGCAGGGGCAGCGACGGAGGAGGTGGTGGTGGCGGGGGGTGAGAGTAGGGGGGAGAGAGAGGGGGAGAGAATGCCCTTTGTGTAGGTGAAATGTGTCGGGGACTGTCATCGTAATATACCTCAGTGAAATGAAGGTTAATTCTGATGTACAGCCTGCATGGCCGTCATTATCGGCGAATCATGAAAATAAATTAAGCCACTGAAATAGATACTCCTCGGCTACGCGGCAGGGATCTCGTGAAGGATGGACGGCTGAACTTTACAGATTATTATTGGGAAATAGTGCCGAATTCAATTAATGCACCTAAAAGACACCTTTATAGAGGGCAGCCATAATTTAAATGACAGCGGGGTGTAATTTTGCTTGTTATAAGTCAAATTTGCAGAGTTTCATGTTTCGGGCACCCCCCCCCGACCACCCCATTCTTCCCGCCCTTTCTTTCCCCCCCTGTTTGCTGAGGATGTTCTCGTCCTTACTCCGAGAAAATTCCTGGAAAGAAGAAAACACAGAGGCGGGCGCTGCCGTACAGCTGAAATCGGATTTATGAAATGAATAAATAAATGTAAAAAAATTCACTATCGCATCCACTCCTCATCTCCTCCTGAGTCTCAAAGTATATTTACCGTAATCCTCTGCGGCAGATCCTGCATCGCCTGTCCGCTCCTCCACCTCGCCGCGCAGGACCCCCTGTGCGCATGAGCCCCGCGAAGCATACAGATGCCAGAGCCTTTTTATGCAGATCCCCACCCCACCTTGAAAAGTGAACGAGAGCACCAATGAACTGGGTAAATGGTTGACCTCTCACCTGCGTGCAACGGCGAGTGAAGCCAGCGGCTTAATCCAGGCAGGTGTCTGACAAGCGGGCGGACACAGCCAGGGCCGTATCGCGCTGACCCTCGCTCAGACCCTCCCTCCTTATCTATTAATCTACACCTCTCTGTAGCAGGGGGGTTGAATTAACACCTCGACGGGGCACGGAGGCTCCTGATTAACACGCGTCACCCCACCACGCCGCTGCCCGCCTGCCCAAATACAAGTGCGGGAGAGAGGGGAGATCAGAGAGGAATCTGACGCTCGCATATGCAAACATTCACACATGCAAACACATGGATAAAGTCATAGGTGCAAACTGTCATTTTTGCTCATGCATACACATCTGTCTCCACTCCTCCAGCACACACACTTTTTTTTTTACCAGCTCTAACATGGCTGCTCCTCCATGTTTTATTGCAGTTTTCTGAATAACCAGGAAAATAATGTGCAGCCAGAAATAAAATATTAGAAGAAACGTTCCAGTCTGATGAGTTTCCCTCCGTCGAGCACCTCTGTTGTTTAATTTGACATGAATAGTTTTCCCCGTCTAAACAGAGGCCATGTTAAATATTTATGTGCCTGTTTTTTATTTTATGGAAGATTTGTGCGACGCAAAATAGGAACGGAACTAGTTGTTTCTTTATGGCGCATGAAATACACGGACGGATTACGGAGCTCGCGAGAATGCTGTATATTGGAAATTGTGTCATAAAAAGCAGAAGAGCGGCGCGTGGAAATAGGTGGAGGAAAACTGTTCATATAAAAGTTGGGGGAGTTGTTAAAAGTATTTGGAAGAAAAAGGAAAAAGACTTATCCCACTCTGAGCCCATTGAAGAAAGCCAAATAAGAGTAATTGTATTTGAGGGTAGAATGTAGTAATTTAGACTATTAAAACCATTGGTGTCATCTTTATTTAATCTCACCCACGGCGAGAAATCATATCCTTTTTTTTCCAAAGCCAAACACACACAAATCTTCACTTCCTCTTCTCTCACTTGTCCTCTTGCTCTCTCTCTTTCCTTCTTTTTCCTCCTCTCATTCCCCCCCCAATTCCCGGCTCCAGCAGTTTAAAGAATCCTTCCACTACCATTATTAGTATTGAACTCATTTCTAAATTCAGAAATTGGCCGAGGAAGATCATTCATTGCGGCAGATAGTAAAATCAATAGCTTTTGTGTCAGGCGGCAGGGTCTGTCTCTGTCTCTCAGGGTGGGTTGGAGCTCAGTGTGTCTGTGTGTGTGTGTGTGTGTGTGTTTGAGCAGCAGAGTACTGTACAGAGTGTAGACAAAAGGCGAGTGAAAACTGGGGGAGTGGGGCCACCTCTTGACGACATGGATACACAGACTCACGCGCAGTCTTCCAGCTGGGCTGCAGGTCGAGAGCCATGCACACACACACACACACACACACACACACACATTCATTTGTGACAGATGTTTACAAACACACACATTTTGCATTTAAAATAAATACAAACACAAACTGAAATTTACACATTTACTCAAATGTTTGTTGTGCAAATTCCTAATCAAAAACACATTTACAAAATATAAAAATGCTCTAGTTTACAGACACATTTACTGAATTATTTCATTTGATTTTCTGCCTCAACACACATTGAACACACTCACACACGCACACTTTTTTTTTTTTGCAGGCAGAGCCCAGTGACGGAACGAGGACAGCTTATCCCAATGAGAGTCAAATCAATCAAGTCCTTTTAATCACCACTCTGCTTTTATAGTGTGGCAGTAATGATGGAAGCCTATGTAGGGGCAATCCCCTAAGACCCCCCTCCCCACGCACACACGCACACACTCACGCACAAACCCCCCCATGTGGCTCAGATTGGAGCCGACACACACACACTCAACTCTGATGATTTTCATTTCTCAATTACATTATCTTATTAACCAATCAATTGCCAGCCTTATCAATAATTAATGTCTCCCCAACTATTAGAATGTAGATTAGATTAAACGCCAGTCTCTTGTCTCCCCTCTTTGATACTTTTAACTGGGCCCTTCATGGCCAATGTAAATTTCAACAGAATACTTAATGTATAAATTGATTTTCAAAATGTATATATATATTTGTAAACTAATGTTGCTCAGAGATAATAAATTACATATTTTCTCTATTTCTCATGGCGTCTTTTAAAATATGTAAAGGCTTCAATGCACAAAATAGAAAAAATAAAATAAAAACATACATAAAAATGTCAGGTCTGACTCACAACATTTTAATTTGAAAACCTTATTCCTCTCTCTTCTCGATGATATTTTAACCTCTCTCTCTTCTTAGAAGTTTAAGATTTGACGACTCAGCATCAGATTAAATGACTGCTTCAGAGGGATATCTTTTCTTTTTTTCTGCAGTGCAGTGCCCAGCTCTGGCAGTGCACCGCTGCTGCTCCTCACCGCCAGACGAGCGCTCGGAGGGGTGTTGAGGGACGAGCTCGCGGATCGATGTCTCACTCTGCTTGGCCCAGCTGTAGCTGTTGTTTCTCACACAGAGAGGCTTTGTCTGGGCTCTACAAAAAAAAATAAATAAATAAATAAAACAGCCGATAACAACTGTTTACCGTCTGCCGCCTCAGGCCTGAGGCTGGGCCTTACAACCCGCTGCACGTCGCAGTGGTAGCCGCTGGTACAGCTCGCACTTTGAGGCTGTTAATATGAAGAGAAGTGGTCTGGGGGTTGGGGGCCGGTGTTATTGAAACATCAGAATTTTTTGACTTGTGCAGGAAAAAGCCCAGTGTGTGTTTATTTGGAAAAACACTTGAATACCTGCAGACAAACCTTAATTTTAAGGTAGTTTTTCCTTTTCTCACTCCTGCTCAGACATGTTTAAACACACACACACACACACACACACACACACACACCCGGCGGGGGGGGGTCTTGACCTCTAGACAGCAGGCCAGTGTCACTGTTAATTATAACCCAGTTTCTAGGTTCCACACAAGGGATGGTACCGGTGTTATACAGGGACAGCTAGTAATGGTTTCCTTATTTCTTCATCATGATTTGTGTTGTAGGTGTCTGAGGCTATATGAGGAGGCTGGACGCATTCGGAGTGAGAAGAAAAAGATGTGGAAATGTGGTGAAAAAGTGAGAGAGAGAGAGAGAGAGAGAGAGGAAAACTCCTTCCCTCGTTTTTACTTCTTAGCCAGGGCTCAAAACATCTGTCAGCACTCAGACCACGGTGGCGAGGAGGAGGAGGAGGAAGCCTTCAGAGGGCCTGGTATGCAGCAGGCCCGCCCGGCCCACTGCAGGAGAATCAGTGGAGCCGCTCAGCTCCGGCAGAGGCCCACCTTGTTTATTCGCCCTGACCTCGCGTTCCCTCCGAGGTTATGGGGGACCCGCTTTAGTGAAAGGAGCCATTGTCCTGCAGGAAAAATCTGTTACAAATATTTACCGTGTGAGGTGGGGGGGGGGGGTAATGCAGAGCCATGGCTCGCAGCCAGCCAGACTCAAGCTGTAAAATTCACCACGGTGCATTTTTAGAATTAGCCATCTCCACACCCCTGTTACTTTTAACCAGGGGTTCAAATTATACCCCCATATTTTTGTTAATGAGATCGCACTGTCAAACATTATTGGTCGTCTAATGGCCTCAACATCAGGATACGATGATTTCTTCCAGCCTGTAACTTCTTTTTTTTACCGAGCATATACAGTGACTGCAGTTATGTGTTTAATGACTTTTTGAATTTGTGAAATTATAATCCCCTTAATTTTATGTATTTAAGCAAACACACACAGATTTCTCTCATTTTTTTTTCCAGCAAGAAAATCTGGAGCACATCCCTGCTCTGCAATTCTTATTCCACGGGGCCCCCCTGTTAGGTCAGTAGTAACAAATGCATTTTCAAAAAGGCTGCATAAATTCTTATCCCCCCCCTCTTCCTCATATGGCTTTTTCTTGAAAATGCCATACTGGTTTTAGCTGGAATATTTCTGCTGGTTTCTATCACGACTGCCTTTCTTTTTTTCTTTTTTTTTTTGTACCCTTGCAGCCGGACCGGGCGGACACCCTCACCGGCGCATTGACATGCAACAAAGCTAATGGTGGCCGGGACAGGAGGGCCTAATCTTCACTAACTGACAAGATTTAAATTGAGGAGACATCTTCCGCTGATTAGCTCCCACACCCACAATTATCCAACTGGGGTGTCAAGCAAGGTTTAACATCTCCACTGATTCTTCTCTCCTGAGACATCCGGGAGGCAATGCAATCGCTTTTAATAACTGCCTCCCTCCCTCTGTCCGTCTCTCTCACCCCTTCTCCTCCCCGTCACCCATTGCTTGTCGCTGCCCCCCCCACCCTCTCTTTCTCTATTTCTCTGTCTCCCTCTCTTTCTCTCTCCTCCCCTTCCTCTTTCACTCTCTCTCCTCCCCTCAATCCCCCACCACCTCCCAGTTCCCAGTCATCAAGCTCCCTTCAAAATTAACCTTTCCTGCGAAAATATAATTTCTCACAAAATGAACCCCACTGAGCGATTTTTTTTATTATTATCTGGAATAATTTATTCAAATTGCCCAACTCAGAACAGCAGAGCAATCTGAACACCGTGCGGACCCCTGAATTTGGATCTGTCTCTCTCTCTTTTTTTCATCTAAGGGTGGAAGGGGGGAGAAAAAAAGTTTATGTACCTTGCTGTCTTCTGGCAAATAAGGGGACGGGCTTGCCTCCACCTTCCATCCCTAGCGCTCTGGCAGCAGTATCCCCCTCGAGTGTACACCTCATTAAAATTCATCTGATCTGAATATTTTTTTGCAAATATGGTCTGATTGCTCACCATGACATGAAACATCCCTGTGTGTTATTTTAATCACACGCACCCCAACGGGCGACGCATGTGACGGCTGTGACATTGAACCCCTCCGCTGCTTGACCCCATTTTATGAGCGCACGTCATTTTAGGAGGGACCGGGGGGATGATGGGAGGTGAGGTGGGGGACCGGTCGGGAAGTTACCTGGAATGATGGACACGCTTGATAATTCTCCCCTCTTTTTTCTTCAAATGTTCACACGGCATCAGCTCGGTTTAAAGCCCCTCTCAATCACGCCGCCGCCGCCCCCTGCCCGCCTCCATCTCCCCTCTCTCTAATGAACTGTTTTCTTCCGGTGATGGAACAGGGACACAAAGCAACGCGATTAATAATTTACTGTTTAGTTTTACTAATTGATCTGTTTTGGGAGACGGGATAAAAGCGGAGGATGCATCCTCGGTGCACAATGCCTTTCATATGGCATTTATCCACAAGTCACAACCGGCTCCCTCAAGATGAATAATGAACTAAACAAGATCAAATAATTATCGCTTGGGAGTATAGGAGAGAGAGAGAGAGAGAGAACTCCCTTACAAACAGCAGCGAGTTTACCTTGGGTTCTTTCTACAGATCACACAACAGGAGGAGGAGGAGGAACACGAGATGAGCAGGTTGTTATCGGCAACAAAGAGCAAAGTAAGGGCTGGCAAGGACAGAGCTTGTGGTTACTTATACTTTTGTAGACTCAAAACTTTTTTCTATATAATAGTTTTTAATCATTATGCATCTGTCTTTGACCTTGACTACCTTTCAGAAAAAGAACGCTGTCTGGACTTCATGCTGTACTTGAGCCTTTACGGTTAAGGTAAGTGTAAACTTTACTGTGGACGAGGTTTATGACGATTAACAACATAAACATAGAAATAATGGAGCTCAGTAGACTATATACCTCCACTAAGGCCCAACAGTCCCCTAATGAAACCTCATATAAATTCGCTAGATCCAGATTAATGTTTCCACAGATATCCCAGAGCCTATCCTGAGAAATCAATGAAAATATCATATAAGTACTTATGAAAAGGGATAAAATCAATTATTTGTCGGTATATGTGACAACATTTTAATGGATTCTTTCTTGGCCCACTTTCCATCCTTCCACCAAGTTTTGTGGAAATCTGATGTAACTAATGGCACTCATTAGGGCACATACCTCCACCAAGGCCCAACAGTTTCCAACTGCATTTGAATTCACCAGATGCAGATTTTGTTTTGAGTGGCACCAAATTGCACACACTCATAAATAGCAGTCCCCTTAATATGCCAGATTTCTTTCGTCAAGAGCCGAGAATTATTCTTGGTGAAAATGTAAAAAAAAACACTTGAGATGTTGAAGAATTTCAGATTCTGCCCGTTGTTTGGATGTGTGTCTAAATTGAATGCTTTCTTTCTTGGCCCACATGTCATCCTTAGATTCAATTCCGTGGAAATCCAACTGGGAGTTAGGGACGGACGAAAACATAACCTCCATGACGGAGGTAGACATGTTTCCCTCGGTGATTATTTTAGTTAAAATAAGAAATTCTGGCATTCTAGATGATTTGCAACATTATATGTCATCACTGAATTGAACTATTCATTAAATTTGAGTAAATCTGAACTCTTGTCCTCCAACTTGTCTTGCACAGTTGGCCCCGGTCAGTCATAACAACTCAGCATAGTTAGTGAAAGTGCTTCCTGCTGAAACAAATTCAGGCTCCTGCTCCCTCCTGAACCTCTCCACAGCCTTATCATGGAGAAAAAAAAAGGAGACTGGCCTGAGGCGTCCTGCTGGCTCAGCAGGGGAACGAGCGTACGGTGTATTTGTGACGTCACGAGTTTGAAACCGACTCATGACTTTTGACTCCCTGCACTGTCTGATAAAAATGAATCGAAGCAATGAGGAGAATACAGTAGAACAGCTCTACAGTAGCCTGCAGTTTTATACCAGGACACACAGCTCACCTGCATGCTTTTATTTTAATTTGAAACTTTTTATTCCACGCATAATAAAACAAAACAGATCTGTATAATTATTCCTGTTTCAGTTGATAACTTCATAGTTGTTTACATTTAACTATCACATTAGCAATTCAGTTACAAAACTCTAACTACATTCTACACTCTACATTCTATCTATCGATCTATCTCCATCCCTCTATTTATCTCTATCTCTCTCATTGTCTATATCCATCTCTCCATCTCTCTGTATCTCTCTCTCTCCCTGTCTCTCTGTATCTCTCTATGCAGCCTCTTCAGTGCAGTCTCTCTCTCTCAGTAACTTCTACGCCGAGCAGTTTCGCTGTGCTAATTTTCCACGGGATGGGGAGGAGGGCCGTGGGTTCGGCGAGACAATATATTTATCTCCAGCACCTTAACACCGAGGGGGGATTAAAAATGAAATGAGCAGCATTCCTTCCTTGGTACGCCAAGGTCTTAAAAGAGACAGAATGGGAGGGGTGGGGGGGTGAAGCATCTTGTATCACAGAGATGTTCATCTGTTTGCAGATGAGCCATGTGTGCTTTTTTTTTTTTTTTTCTCCGGCATGTGTGAGATTTACTCAAACGTACCTTTTTATCGTTTTGGATTACACGCTGTTGGCCCATTGAACCTAATGCGGTTTCCCCGCTGCCGTATCGGTAATGGTTCTCGCCGTTAGCTTGTAAATAAGGTTTAATACAGTGAGCTGGTGTGAAGTAGCAATCTGTGTACGTGTCCGCACGCTCTCAGCGGTCTCGTATAAATATTCCCCTGGCTGGGTGGAGAGTGTCATTATGTGTTAGCTGCAAGTAGCAAAAGATTAAAGCAGCAACTAAATGCCCATATCATTACCCTATTAGCATGTGACATATATGTGTATAGGTGCCTGCTTAATTAGCGTTGATTGATTGGAATCAATGACTGTAAAGAAAAAGGAGGCTAAGCGGGGGCAGGGTTTGTGGGTGGGTAAGTCTTGTGAAAGTATCCAGAATTAAAGCGGAGCTAGTCGTCTTATTTCTGATTTCATTTGGCTTAGCTGTTAAACAGGAGGCAGACAATCTAGCTTCCTTTGATACTCGACTAAAATCTATCCCGCCTGCTCCCGACCACCTTTAAAAAAAACAGCCACCTAATTTTGTCATGGATATTACGCAGACACATGCATGAATCAGTGCTGGTTGTCACAATTATGTTAACAGAGGGGATATTAAATGAGACAGGCCTATTTCCAAAGGTGAGACTGTAGAATCAACTCGGCGCTCAACGAACCCCGGTGTCAATCACGCGAGCGATTCATATTCAACCGAAGTCAAGTGCATCTGCCCGGATGCATTATTTATGTCGGGGAAATAAGCAGCTTAAGTGAATCATGCTAGCAGCTATTAGCAAGAGATGCACACCTTGCCCGCTCCCCCCGCCTCTCTTTGGAGGCCATGTTTTGAAGTCTAAGTTTGATTGGGCCCGGGGAAGCTAAAAGCGGCCCCACTGAAGTCTGGCGTTCTGTAGCGCTGGAACAAAGGTGCATTTGTGTTTGTAGTTGTCATTAGGCTGTGTTTTCCACCTCTCTCTCTGCCTCTCTGTCTCTCTCTGTGGGCCAAATAACAGCGGAGGTTAGCGTCGCAGAGTTACGGCTCTATATCCTGCTGTCAGGAGTTGCGAGGCTCTGTTTTAGATCAGCCCCGTCCCCGCCGTGCCTGATGGACAGCTCTGAGGATAAATGGATAGAAAAACAAGCACTGTTGACTGCGACGAAAGTGCTCGTCGATGAACCGGAGATTGCGTGAAGGGGAGGGGAGGGTGCGAGAGGGGGTTCGGGGTTGTGAGAGGGTTAAGCATTGCCGGGTCTAAGGGGCAAGTGTGCGTCCTCCTCCTCCTCCTCACTGTTCACATCCACCTTTCAAATATATCTCATTCATAATGGATAGATCCGGATCTCTGCTTTGCATCTTCAACTGACAGTTTTAGTGTTTCCTCTTTTTTTTCTCTCCCTCTTTACCTTCTCTCTTTTTGTCCCCTCCATTGGTGTCCTGGATTTTTGTCTTAAAGCAAGGACCTGTGATCTACAGCCTATACATCTAGCTCTGTGCCTGTGCCGGACAACTAGAGGAATACAGGCTTATTACAGATAAAAACTATCACAAGGGGCTTTCACCCTATTTGTCAGGTAATGCTGTCAGGCTCCGAGCTACAGGTACACACCAACAGTGAATCATTTCCTCTTTTTTTTTGAGTGGGACAGAGAAAATATCCAACACACACACAAACACCTGCACTCAACCTCATAAACCTGTGTGCAACAAAGCTGCATCAGGTGGTCCCTACAGGTTACCCATCATCAAGCCTAAATACAGCACTCTATCACAGGTGGGCCTCCATTTACCTCCACACAAACACACACACACACACACACACTCACACACACTGCAGCCCTGGCAGTCCGAGCACCGACTGCCTTTTACCCCTTCTTATTTAGATGCACTCGAGGACACAATGGGGGTACATTAGCGGCGCTCGCCCTCACAACAGCTGTAATTTCATTCTGGTTACCACATGCATCCTACTTGACTCTCAATACACTCTGGGATGAGGGCCAAATAATGGGATTTACCCTCTCTCTGACGACAGCCCCCCTCCCTCACCCCTCTCCCTGTGTGTGTGTTTGTGTGTGTGTGCAGGTAAATGTGAGTATCTCATACATACATGTTTTTGTGTGCTGTCTCAGGCACATGCCTATATGCAGTTGAGCACATGTATATGCGTAAACGTGCATTTCTCGTCAACTCAGCGAATCTCAGCTGTCATTGCCAACACCAGGGGAAAATGCTCCTCTTCTCCACCACTATGGATGATGCTTGTTCTAAATGGACCACAGAGTAAGGGCCTCATAGGGGAAAAGATTTGGCTGAACATGTGTCACACTGAGTTTTGCTTGTGTTTGAAAGCTCAGCTGCAAGCGTCATATAACACAGTTGCACTTTTGTGCATAAAGAACTTCAGAAAACTAAAATCAATCGATACCGTTACGCCAACAATGATCGTGAAATTTCCAACGACACCATGTCTGCTTTGTGTGTTCCAGGATTTCATCCTTAAGATCTTCAGTTCTCAGGATCCGACCCAAAATGTTTCCCAAAGACTGGATCGTCAACAAGTAAGACCACACACACAGAAGAGCACACACAGAAATGGAAATGATAGAGTAATTACATGGTGTGCATTTTATACCAATGGGTCATGAGGACATTCCAATAATATCCTGTTTTCAGACATGAACTCTGGAAAATATTGGGAAAATTGGTCCTGACAGTTTGCCTTTCACATATGAATCCATGACCCGATGCCACATGTCCCACAGGGGTCAATGTGCTTGAGTAAAGTATGGCCAGTTTTGTATGTGAACCATTTTTGTCTTGGTGTTTCTGTAAAATACATTTTTAAAGAGGCACAGGATGATTAAAACAATAATAATAATTGATATGGTGCTTTTAACAACAAAAATACACTTTTATTGGTTTAATGACCAGAAATATGAAATGCACAATTTTAAATATGTAATAAAAGAGTCCATACCTCCACCAAGGCCCTAAAAGTGGTTCAAGAATTCACTCAGATATCAGTTCCTGTTTTTTTTTTTTTTTTTACAAAGATCCTTTAATTATTCCCTGGGAAAACAGTGAAAATTAAAAAAAAAATGTGTTTCACAATGTTAAACAAGTGAAAAACGAATTTCTGGATCTGCCCGCTCCTCAGGATTCACACCAAAATATAATGACTTCTTGTCTGACTCAAGTTTCATGGTAATCTGTCTGGTATTTTTTGCATAATCCTGTTCACAAACAAAGACAGATTAAAACATAACCTCCTTGGCAGAGGTAATGACAAAAAATAGCAATGTCCATCTGACAGTTTAGAAGTCCTGGTAGTATGCAGTGTCACTGAATCACTGTCGTATATATTCGAACAGATGTTGAATATAGGCCAGGACTATTTGTTGGAACAACCCAGAGCCTGAGAGTTTTCTCCAATAAGCAGCTCTGCTTTTCTTCACCTTTATTTCTCAGTAATTAGATGAGAATAGAGGAAGAAAAAGGCTTAAAAAGTTTTAATTTGTATTCATGAGATAAGAATGGTAAGAGAGGGAAGCAAACAGCTTCCTCAAGACAATACAGGACGCTTCACTTTTATCATACAGTCAATTGTTCACACACACAAACACACGCATACCTGCACAGATACACATGCATGCACACATGTGCATACAAACAAAAAAGTAATCAGGACGAACAAAGCCTGTCTGAACGTGCTGTACTCAAAGACACACACACACACACGGGAGGCATTAATTTATTCAGGTTAGTGGTCTGCTTTAATTATTACAACCAGTCTCCCCCCCCCCCATAATAGCCAGCACATCTGTAGCTGTAGCTGTCAAAAACAAGCTGAAACAATTTCATCTGCGAGCACAAGAAACAAATACTGTCTCCTCTCTCTCTCTCTCTCTCTCACTCTCTGGCTCTGTAATGTAAAAAGGCCTTTAATCAAGCCCTGGTGTATTTTCTGTTTGTTTATAACGCGATAGCGAGAACACAGCCTCCGAACGTGTTATGTTGTTGCAGGGCTTCGCTGAACATTTCCCGGGGAAGAGGGGGGGAAATTGATAGGGAGTTTCATAATTAAGCAAATTAATGAGTTTATTCGGTGAGCAACCAAACACTATACGACGCAGGCTCGTATCTCCACAGAGACATGAAAAGTCTCACTTTGTTGCCGGAGTTATTTGTGCCATGAGCTTGTGCGTCTGTAACTGTATGTGGGTCTGTTTGAGTTCTCATCCCTTTGTTTTTTGTTCAATCTTAAAGAGCGGCGCAGACAGACAGACGCACAGAAAAAGCATTGTGCTGTTTCCACTCCCGACTTTTAACGCTATATGCAAATAGACTCAGAAACGCTCTACAAAGGCAATAACATTTTTTTAACATCAAACATGCTGCAGCTCATCCTCAGCTACTGACCGTTTATGGCAAATACTGTGTTTTTCTCTCTCTGTCTTTTCCTGTGCCATAAACGGCCTTTGTAACAGCAGGCTATTAATGAGAGGCCATTTTGACTTGGCCTTATTAGTTCCTACAGGTCTGAGAGGTGAGGGGGGAGCGAGAGTGCATGATGGTGGAGGCAGTCGTCCTCAGAGACACATCACGGCTGAATCATTCATCATCAGTTTTAATTTTCTCGTTGTCGGTGCAGAGAAAAAAATGTTTTAATGACTAATATATGCATATTGGTTTATGTAAACATAGTCGCCACCCCCTCCTCATCCTTTGGCTGTTACTTCAGAATAGAAAACAAAGAGGCAGAAGCACAATAATAGATAATAAACCCCCCCATCCTTGTTCAGTAACGACGGCCCCCTCACCGCGACACACAGGGCCACCCCGGGGCCAAAGGAGGAAATGAGAGGCTCTTTAGAGGACAAAGACGCCATTAGGACGCCACAGGTGCCTCGCCTGCTGTTTGTCTCTCGTTCGTTTGGCATCTCACGCTTTTTTTTTTTTTTTGGTGCTCTCTCTGTTTCTCGCCCCACTTGTGTTTGGCAGTGGCGACAAAACAGGTGTCAAAGTGCAGTGGAATGATATTGCCGTCCCGCTGAGCGTGACTTTGTTGCGTGAGCCAGTTTGAAGACATGCAGATGTTGTGTTCCAGAAGAAGACAGAACCTGAAAATGAGTGGTTATGTTTGCAATCAAATTTAAACACTGTAATATTCTACAATTTTAGGCCTTGAAAAGACTTACGCATACAAAATGTCTGTCTTAGATAGGTCTTAATTATGTTCATTTAACATTACTTCCATCATGCTTTGAAATGTGTTCACATCAGTTGTGATTCGTGTCACAATCAAACAGCTGTTATGTTTTGTTCTGTTTTTCTACATTTACGAGGGACTTTCCAGGTGCTTTAAATGTTGCTGCCGCAAAGAACTGTGGGAGGGCATTTTCTCCTTTCCTTCCTTCAGCCTGAGATCTTTTATTGTGAAGCAGTTGGGTCTCAGCGATCTTGCAAATGTTGCATTATAATTTCAAATGTTGATTTAAATCTCTTCCTCTCCTTTTATTTCTTTGAAGGATCCGGTTTTTTTAACATTGCACATGAGGACTTCATCCGGTCTGACAGACAGAGTGCTGACATCGCAGCCCTTTGTCGTGTGTTTATTGTGGAAATTCACTTCTAAAAAACGATGAGCCTTTGGGGTGAATTCATATAAAGTGGTGGTGACCGCTAATGGTGTGAAGGCAGAAAGAGATGTTCCAGTCTCTTCCTCTTCATCTGTCTTTTCTCACCTCCCCTCCCTCCCTCCCTCCCTCCCTCCCTCATTCATCGCTGATATATCTCTTCACATTCTAACCACCCTGCCCCTCACCTCTGTCCTCTCATCCTCCCTCGCTCCCTCCCCACCGGCGCAGACAATAAATATCATGTCACGAGGATGGCAATGCTCCTTCATGGAACACTGCATGTTTATTAGAGGCAGGAGAAGTTTAAGAGAAATGCTAACAGTGTTCATTAATGGGCCGCATCCGCGTTTGATGAGGCATGGCACATCCCAGCCACCAGCCGAACGGGGAAGAGAACAGGCTCGAGGGGGGGTTCTGCAGAGGGGGGCATAACGGCCACTGGTAAACGGCTGGTAATTGTGTCCAAATTGTATGGCGAGAAGGCCTCTCAAGGACTGACAGTGACGGAGCAATTATGGCGAGCCAAGCGAGCTGTGTCAAATCAGCCCCTCTCGTCCTTTTTCCTCTTTTCCTCCAAAGCCCAACCCCTCCTGCCGCCCGCTGACAGGGACTCATATTTCTTTTTCCCTGTGTAGCAACGCGGAGTGATAAACCTTTGATTGTGAATGATGGGAAAGAAGCGCCGCAGCGGCTTGATGATTTAAATTGTCAATAACTTGGTCACGTGGGTGTCTGGCCAGGTATAGAGACGTTGAAGACACAGGAAGTTTGGAGGGAGGGTGGGCGGGATCGGCGAGTGGGTGTGTTTCACACACTCAGCGACCCAGTCTTTACCCGGGAAGGTCATCAGTCAGCGTCGACTGTCAGGGATGGATCACACACAGTGGAGTGCGCCTGACTTTGGTAATTACATTTGACTGCAGAGTGGGGATGTCTTCTTTTGTGGGCCCACAGTGACTGCATAATTTATAATTAACTGCAATCAGTTCAGTCACAAGGATCTTCATCAAGGCTTTTTTGTTTTAGGGTGGGGAGGCTCATCACTGGATCATCAGTCAGCTTGTCTGAATGTTATAATTTACACTAAGATTAGAAATGTAGAAAATGTCGAAACCTTAGTTTTTCCAATGTAAAACAACTTTTGTTTTTTTCTTTCTGTATGCACACATTTCTCTTGTTTATGCAAAGCAAAGGGGGGAGGAGAAAGAACAACTTATTGGCTGCATGAGCAAACTTTAGATGGAACAAATGGGTTTTATGAAGATCACAGTGGAGACGATCAATAGCACTGATGATTCAAGGTGTCAATCCATACATGCAAACACATTCTAATTGATTTTTCTCCTATTGATTTCACTGGCGCCTCCGCCGGCTCTGGTTAAGACAGGAACATGCGTTTGTGTTTGATGATAGAATTCAGACAGCGATTAGTCTTGCAGCGTGTCAAAATTAGTGTTGCTTATGCTTTGATTTCTGATTATAATGCATATTAAATAAAGCTCAGACAACAGTGCACACGGATTAAAATTATGATGAAAGCGGTTTGAGTTATGTGCTGTAATGTGATCATCATCTTATGAATTATGTAAACAATTATGGCCACAAATCATGTTCAATCCTCTAAAATAGATATTTGAATGGCATTCTTTATATTTCCCTTCAAATTTTAATATAGAATTATGATTTAAGTTTCTCTTTTACATTGTAGCAGTGACTATACAGGTTTGGTATGCTCTTCTGTGTGTGTGTGGACTTATTTTTGTTACCTCTCTACAACCTTTTCAAGCATAACATTGACCTTGTCAGGACAAGTAGACCTCACAGAGACCAAAGCCTGGTCCTGATGAGTCAAAACTGTAATTTCTGAGGTCCTGGTTAAGGTTGGTTGTAGGTTAGACATAAGGTTTGGTTGAATGAACG